CTGGGGTATTTAAGGTCGTATTCAACCTAGTGGTGTGAAATAAGATGTGCCAACCATATTTTTTACCTACAAATTTTTTTCCGAGGCACCGTTTTTCTTATTTGCCGGCAATGCGCAAATCCTCGTACATTTGGCCCTTTTATGTCGATTTTTACTACTGCCACGTAATGAAATATTTTTTATTAAAAAAGCGTAAACTTTATTTCACATTTCAGGTGCAATGAGCGCTGAAAGGAACATCGAAGGAAACTGAGGACAGCGATCGACGTCCAATTCGATTCACTGTATTTTATTTTTAATTGCCGCGACACCCTAGAATAAGTTCAGACAATCAGGGGCCACTTCACGCAGTGAGCCCATCGGAAGAGTTTTACCAGTGGAGAAACCACTGGGTTTTTACTTCCAGGTGGTATCGTCTTAGGGTCCTCACGAACCCACTAGGGGGGGGAGTGATCTGTAGCGTCACACGCTTCCCCAAAATCAATAGCCTAGGGTCTGACGAGATTCAACACTGATGCTGACCTTGATAATTTAACTGGACTCGCTAGGCTGAAGACACCCGGTCAAGAATCTTCGCCATTTATCACGCTGTAGTGTTACGTTGAACTGCTCGTATTCATTTGAAGCGAAAGGTAACCGCTGCCAGCCCCTTTGGTGGACGGTCACTTGGGGGAAACAACCCTGTTGACCAAGTTTTACCCCAGGTGCCTGCTCAAGTCTAGAACACAACGAAGAGTTTATTAGTCCCGCGGTCCGCCTTATCATGTAGTCGCCAAGCTAGGAGACTCATCATCATGGTTCGCCTTGATTAATGTCATCTGGCTTGCGTAGCTCATTTGTAAGGCCTCTGACTGCAATACCGGGTGAAGCGGAACTGAATCTTACAGTAGACATCAGTTCCATCACTGGCAGGCACGCCTAGCTGAAGGGCGACAAATGGCATGAAACAGAGATTCAGGACTTCGTGCAGATTACCACGGGCCAAACAACGTCGACCGTTATGCTTCTCGATAGTGAGTCTCTTGGGTTAGTGACCCCGCTGTGAAACACTCTACCTTCAACACCGGACGACCTGGAAATGGCTGCTACATAGTGACCGGTAAGTGTGGACCTCATCCACCACTTGAAAATGGGATTGGTAACCACTACGGAGATGTCTTGAAAAGTTTCGGAGGACGTGGCGAGGTCATAGAACATGACACTAGTAATAATATTTATTCCTGAATACACGATCATATACCATCTTTATAGGTATGAGTAAGTTTCTATGTGAATTACATGTATCCTTACGGAGGGTTATCTCAATCCCCACCTATTGTTACTGGAAGATATAAGTGCTGCATGTTCATATAATGGAACATCCTAGCAGAATAAGTATGCAAAAATTTACAAGTTGGATAAGTGGAAGTATTGCCCTCGCACCACCATAAGAGGTTTTTACCTCGATGCTGTACGTATTGCCTGGAGAAGAATAAAGCTTGAAGCTAAGACTTCCATTGTAACCGTGTGTGCTTTTTGCTTGAGATAATGATGAAAAGTTTATGAGGGAATGTGTGCACAAATTGTTTACTTGTTGTACTTCATTAATAATTCACGAACTGTATTATAATTCATATGTGCTAAAACCATTCCACATCAGAGGTTCATAATCTTGATGAACATCACGACTGAGAGCCAAATATTTTCACTTTTCCAACTCCGGCATCCGGAAGCAATCGGCTTGTTCGAATGTGCCAATTTCAAATGCATCACCTCCTGGTTAAGTTCCGGCAGACGACGACCGTTTGGTGGACTATATCTGTATCCAGCCTCCTCCGGGCAAAATGGACCACGCTCTGTTGAGACTCGTTCTGGCAACCTAGGTGAAACTTTCGACAGTTTAGCCAGGAGCGTTTCACCGCTGCCAAAATGCAGACTACCCTCTCATGAACGATGTATCTCTGGAGGCTTCGAGACTACAAGAATGGGACTCATTATTGATAGACGAACACCTGGTACGTAGTAAAGATATTACCTGCAGCGCCATCGAAAATAGTGCTCCGGTGTTAACCAGTTAACCACCCTTCAAACGGCCCTGAGTAACCCGCGCAACCCATAGGCAAACACGGAGGGGAAAGAAAGCACGGTGTCACTGGCTCATATCACACAAAGAGTGCGACCTTCTTAGATGGGAGACGTTAATCAGCTCATGTAATATAAGGGTTTGATATGACAGGTACACGTACCAGAGTAACCCGGCCAAATGGTCAAGTTATGATCCAAAAAGCCTATATCGGTTTGTGTCACATCACAAACCAACAAATAAGGGTTTAGACCTGATCACACGGCTGGCCGGAGTACTTTTGGACGGCAGTGAGGTGGTCGAACTATTTAGCAGCCGATTTGACGAGCGACTCAACCCAGTAATGCGTCCACAATCAGCATCTAATAATGTAACGAAGTTCCAGGACGGCGATACAAGACTGATGAACGAAAAGATTCCGTCTAACCAAGTGTTCGCGAAACTTTTAACACTGAGAATAGGGAAAAGCACAGACATAAGATCCGTGGGCCTGCGCAACTCTGCCGAAGTGCCCGGCATACCTATATGCAACCTTTTCACTCACTCGTCGGAAGCAAGTCACATCCGCAAAGAATGCAGCTGCGCTATCCTTTCACCAGCCCTCAAGAGAGGAGACAGAATAAACCCGTGCAACCACAGACCAATAGCATTGATCCCCACACTTCCCAAAGTACTGGAAAGCCTAGTTGCGGATGTTGCTTAGGACTATGTGAACGGAAACATCATTTATCCCCCCTAACCTGGCTTCGAAACCGGACCATCATGTATCACAAACTTGATGACCTCTTCGGATGACTGGATCACTGGATAAGACAACAAGCAACCAGCCGGCGTAATCTTTCCTGTACTTGGCCAACGCTTTCGATAGCGTCCCACGCTGCACCGTGCTCGCTGAACCTACAATAGTGGGTACCACTGAACCACTCATGGCATGGTTTGCATTATATCTAGGGGACAGAGAGTTATGTACTGAAGCAAACAGAGTTTGAACAGTCTAGAGGAATGAAAGAACAGGAGTTTCATAAGAAGCGATCCTTGGGCTACTCCTATTTTTGCTATTAAAGCCTCCTCGTCTATCCTCCTATTTGCCGATGACACCAAAGTATGGAGGACAATAGGTAAGGAAGAGGACTCTAGGACACTCCCTTAACCAATCAATACACTTAAGCCAGTCCAACAGGAGGTCAATAGTGCCCCTAATAGCTCTATGTTAAAGCTGCTGACTACGACATTGGGTGACGCTGGTTCAAATCTCAGGAGGGACATCAGTTCCGTCGAGGTTGCAGATACACCTTGCTGACGAGTGCCAAAAAGCACGAAGCCTAGGTCCAGGGCTTCCTGCCTATTACCTCCAACCAACTAACACCTCCTAATGTGCACCACGATGCTGAGCTTCCCAGCTTGGTTGCCACATTGCAAATAAGATCGATAGGATTCCGCTTTCACTCAGGACTAGACAACATGAAATTGGTCTCACTCCCGTAACCAATCAGCACACTCCGAAAGGACCTGCTGCAACTAGGGTCTTGGTCCCCTGCAAACGGTTTTAGCTTTAACCTGGAGAAATGCAAGGCGATGTATTTTTGCACTCTGGAGGCGATAAAAACCGGGCACACTCTCAACAAGTTTGCAATCACCAAGTTATCAACTGAGAAGGACCTAGGACTAAACTTTTTGACGCACTGGATACTGTCGACAATTATAAGGGAATGGTAGCAAAGGTGGACGCCATCATGAGCTTCCTAAAAGAAGACGGTTTGAATTGTTAACCCCACAATTATTTCTTATGGCATTTAAAACCTATGTTAGACCACACCTACAGGTGTTCAACACGACAGCCCCCCTCAATGCCAAAGAGAGACGCAAATACACTCGAGAGGGTGCAGAGAAGAGCGACAAGGTTGGTTTTCGGACCAATAGGTCGAACATATGGGCAGTGCCTCAGGCAATCCGACCTGTTCAAACTGATCTGTCGAAGGAAACGAGGCGACCTGATAACGGCTAATGAATTAGCCTCACCTACCTAAGTTCTACATATCTTTGCACCCTTCTCGCCTCATTTGGGTGTAAGTAGACCACTCCATCGGCCAACGCTTCTTTGTCTTTTACCCACCAATATTTGTCTTCCTAGGTTATCTCCTAACTATCCCTAACTGTTTCCAATGACGAGTCCGAACAACTGTCTGGCAACTGGACATCTGCAGAACCCAAATGCATCACAGTCCTAGGCAAACTAACCAGCACTCACCCCTCTGTTCTGTATACCAGAACTATAGCAGAGGAGTGGCTGGATTTCCTGCATCGGAATCCGCTAGAGGCTGAGAACTGTTCGGCAAGACCAAGAAGAGAATGCGACGGAATCAGCTGGTTTACACAAACCCGTTGAACAGATATTGGATATTAGATATTAGACAACCACTACCTCCAAGGCTATAAGCTGGAAACATGCAAAGACGTCCATGACCATGGATGGGGTACAACCGAGCAAAAAGAACTGAGCCTTATGACCTAGGAGGAAGCGCTCAAAAACTACAAGTTTCCTATATTAGCATTATTGATGTTAAATGTTGTTGAATTTGATACCAACTAATGAGTACACAAGCAGAATGTGGTTCACTGGCATGAGAGATAGGCATCATTGAAGATAACTAGTCTTCTTTCATCTCCTAAATCTTGTTTAACTAAACGTGTTTGTTTAGTTGTTTCGTGCTATCAAATAAATTTCAAGAGGTGTCCATTCAAACTCAGTATCCACTGTAAACATTTTGATATCAGAGGGCTTATCTTTTCCTCGGGAACTAGTCATACTCACTTATATTTTGTGACTCATGTGCTGAGAGTTGTATCTTTACCGTCGATATCAACTGGTGTCGCGTTAACTGACACATCCAACAGTTTTCGGGCTTAGTTTGAAAGTATTCGGTTTATATCTATTTTGATGACAACAGTTGACCATCTTTCCAACACTGGCAGTACTGGTATAGATCAAAAATATTACGATTGCTTAAATACACCTCATGCCTGTGTTTTTACTAACTATTTAAACGTTTGTTGGAAAGAACCAGATTCGGTTCTTTGTGCTCTCAACAAGATTGAAAATTCTTTTAACGCCCTACTGACTCACGGAGACGTTTGTAATGATACTTGTTCGTGCATTACAACCAATATTGAACGTCTTATTGGTGCGTTGATTTTCTCGTTATCATCTGAGGACATTCTATGTAGTCGTTCAGCCACACAAAATTTGAGACTGATTTTGCGCGTGACATTGTTTTATTTGAAGCTTCCTAGGTTAGACATTTGTGTTAATTCCCTGATTCGTCACGGTCTATCCCTTGCTGTTCATCCTAGCGTTAGGTTATCACTGTGTACAGCGCTTCCACAAATACTTACCTCAGATTTATTTCATTCATATAACAAGAAAGATGTCGCCCAGGACTTCGAACCATCCTATGCAGTTTGGTTGACTGTTTTATTTCATCTTCCGGCAGCAAATCTGCCTACAAGTATGCATTTATTTCTTTGCTCAGAATTTTCGGGGAAGATTTCTTCACTTTTTTCCACGATATCTGGAAACGTAAAAATGCTGATGGGATTTTGTCCAGCGTACATTTAAAGTTGTTTCATCGGTGGTCCAGTGGAGTTTTTGCAACAAACAAGGAGAATAAGATTTGCCAGAGATTTGCCCAACACTCACCCCACCCTGTGGAAAACTCTGAACGCCTGTTCCGAATTTCAAGCTTCAGGACTTTTGGACCTCTTAATATGACGGATGCAGATTGTCTTGTGCCTGGTGATGGTCACATTTGTTATCAAGACCTATGTCACTTTTTGTCACAACCTACATTTAACCGGTTAGTGGATCACTTCGAGAAAACAACTGACACTTTATGTGAAGATAAATACATAACTCATAAGGCCGCAGAAGAAATACGAAAGGCTGTTGTTTCCGGTATTAGTAATTCTTCTGGGAGAGAAATTATTTTTGGATCCTTTTTCTCAGAGGAGTTATGTAGAACTGAAACATCCTGCAAAAAACTGTCACAAGTGCGTTCTCTTTATTGTCTTATGGAGTTGCTGAAAATGTTAATTCATGATTCCAACCTCAATGTTATTTTGTGTATCTTAGAAGTAGCTACAATACTCACACAACCGTTTCATTGTGTAGTCGATGGCATTAATAATGCATTACCAAGCGGAAATACTGCTAAATTAAGTTTTGCTGATTCTGAGTGGCTCTCACACCAACTTTTGCATATAATTTGCGTTGCGTTGGGTGATAGCAATTTAGTTGTTCGTGTTGCTGGCAGTAAGCTTTCACTTGCTGTTGGCAGCCTACCTTCTTGTGCTATGATAGTTGTTCGTGAACTTGCAGGTCAGGTGTTTACTTACCATAAGAAATGCAGTTCTGAAAAACCAAAGGATGAAAAGGAATATGTGGATTATGGGTTTTGCTCTAATAAAAGAACTCAATTACATCAAGAGTCAATCGATGTCATTACTACATTACTTTTAACTCTTCCAAGTTCTGAGTTCGATCTGGCTGAAGTGTGTAAACTAGTAATACTCCCAGGATTAACTGATCTTAAGTTACTGGTGAGTTATTTCTGTTGATTCATTAGTATGTGAATTTTTGAACTATATGTAATCTCATACTGAGATATTTTCACGCTTCATGGTTTTCATGTATATTAAATTTAATGTTTAGAAACTTAGGGGTTGTAAGTTTCAAAGTTATGAGATGTAGCCATATTTACAAGATGAGACAGTCACCTAGTTACTGTCACATTTTCTCAATTTTTCCGTTTAATTCACTTGCAGAAAACTAAGTCACCGAGCCTCATTTCAGTCCATGTATGACACGTACTCTTTGCCACCACACCATTGAATTTACTGACCTTCACTAGCTATTTGTTTTCTACATTTCATGCTGAACATAGGCAGTACATTTTTTTAATAGTAACATGAGGCGATCGATGACCTACAAGCTGTGGAGATGAATAAATCTAGCTTCATTCCATTTAAAGGATACATTATTAACAACAAAACTGAAATCATGGGTTACTAAATATTTTCTCCGGGAGCAGTAATGAACGTCACCAAGTGAGCGTGTGATTATCAACAAACGACTGACCATTTCTAGTTTGTCATTTCTTTCACTCTCATCAAATTGCTTACTTATATAACCTCATATTTTTATGCATACATATAATGGATATTGCGTACATAAGTTTGAGCAAGTGATGACCGAATCCGCTTCATAATCACTGACTGCTTTCATAAAAAACCGCATAGTATCTCTATCGTTCACGAAGTAATTGTGGTTCATAAGGTGATGTACAAGTTTGTATACACTCTTCAGTTTTTGTTTTCTTATTGTCACCATTTCAACAGTCCCATGGTATTTATTTGACTGAGTATATTTGTAAAAAATATGGGTGGTTTTGCTGAATCGTATTTGTGGATTTCCACTGTTTTGCAGTCTGCGAAATCTGACGGCAGCCAATATTTTCGACGCTACTGGTAACAGACTAATACCCCGATGGTTTCTAAAGATGGCACAATAACGGCTTCATTCCAGAGTCTGCTATACTTTCTCAAAAAATCTGGTCAGTTCCCTGACTAGAGTCGTCCCTCCGTCCTTAAAAAGAATCGGGAGTAAGTTTTCCGGGCCGGGTGCCTTGTGGCGTTTCAGAACTTGAAGTTTATTATAGACCTCCGCTTCGTTAGGTGGATCAGTGTTAATTGACCATGGAGCACGATACACTGAAGCTGACAATGCTAGGGCCGTGAGCCAGTTAAACTGCATTTCGAACTTCTGTGCCCAGCGTTCCAGGCGTCTTTGAAGATTGTTTATCGGGGCACCATCTACTTCACAGACCGTCTCACTGGCACCAAGCTTCTTGCTCTCAATGGCTCGGATGAACTGGAACAACTTCCGACTATTAGCAGCTGCTGCAGCCATCTCACTTGCGCATTTTGACTACCAAGCCTCACGGTCACTGTGTAAGTGTTGTATAATCTTTCGCGTAAGAAACTTCACGGAACAATGTGATCACTATCCGCCGGAATAGTCTGACAGGCGTCAAGAAGTTGCAGAGGACTCGCGGAGATCCAGTATTTATTAGATAGATGTTCTTTCAAGCCACAAGCGGCTTTGCTCACCATTTTCATGGCATCCTGCAAGTGTATCCAGTGCTCGTCTACACTTCGTGGAGTATCAGTACCTAGCCTTAAATCTAGCTCGGATTGGTATTTATCTTCAATATTAGGTGGAACTAATTTGTCCACATCAACCTATTTAGGACGACGATTTTGGTGGTCACCAGAATGCAAGACAAGCTCAGCACAAACTAAAGCGTGATCAGAGTTCAGGCAAGTAATGCATACGGAGCGGCAGTCCTGTACACACCTACGCAATCGGTAACTAATTGCAATATGGTCTATTTGAATCCATGCTTGAGTGGCATAGGGAGGACGCTATGTAGCACAACTGCTATGGCTACGCCGGAAGTTGGTGCTGACTAGAAATGGGTTGTGATCTGTGCAAAGCTACAGAAGACGATCCCCATTATCCGACCTGAGGCCAACTAGTCGTCGACGTCCACCTAAACGACTCTCCTCTGAGTCTAGACACGCAACCTGTGCATTCAAGTCTCCAGCTGACCCCACGACATCTGCCGAGCGCATTTGGTGGAGAAGGTCACTCAGTTGATGATAGAATTCATCCTTGGTTGCATTCAGGCTGCAATCCGTTGGAGCAAAGTCAGAGATGATAAAGAGACACCATTTCTCTCACCGATTACTTCTTACTCGAGTTGAACCTTTTAGCCTAACAGCATACAAACTACTGTTAATGGGGATCCAACCAGGTAGTGCAACGTCAGCTCTAGCGCTTAGTGTGACGCTAACATCAGAGGTACCGATGCCGCAGGGTCCCTGGATAAGCACACATGAAACATACTTTGCTAGCTGACAGATGGGGTACTAATTCGAAACACTTCACAGGTTTTTGTATGCGGATCTCTGGAATGCAGCATACATGAATAACGAGGTTTTCCAGAGTCCTAGCCAAACCTGCCTGTTGTCCGATCTTCATCGAAGCATGAACGTTGAAAGTGGCGAGCTTAAACGATATGCGTGGTTTGAGGATACATGTGTCAGATGTCTTACTGGGGGGATAGCTTTTCGGGGGCAACTATTTAGCCACTCAAAACTGTACAGACATACCAAAAGTCTAAGCAGTGAAGGGCATCTGAGTGAAGTGAAGATTAAGACAAAAGTGAAAATGGTAGTAATAAAAAATGCAGTCCATGTATAAAAACTATAAAAACAATATAACAGCAATAAATTGAGTAATCGGTTAAAAAGTTCGCAGTGTGGGGAGCTTCAGTATTCGCAGAAGAGTTGATTAATAGCTTTGAAATCTCTGTATATTGTAATTTCACATCTTTATGAGGGCTGGGATGGCTGCCTAGGCGCTCAGACCAAAGCAGACAGTTATATTAGGCGACCACTCTCTGAGCCTTTGACTTGAAGCCTAATCCACAAGGCAGCGGAGCAACAGGAGCTGCATTCCTATGATTGCCGGTGACCAAACTAGGTTCGTACGCCATTCATTTGATCTGTAATCTGAAGCCCATCAGAACCATTGGTTAGGGTAGGAATCAGGGTTTTCCAATTCCCGTAGGTGGATCCTCAGTATCCACCAATCCGGTGATAAGTGCTGGACATCCGTTTACGCCGTTTCACATCTGTGAAAACACCCCAGCCACGCCAAGGCAGTGAATAGGACTTCTTTGGCAGAGGCTGTGAGCTCGTACTAGAGCATTTTGAGGCATTTGGCTAACTGAGGTCCTTAAGATGGAAAAAAATGGACAGGTGGGTGACAGGAAATCGGCCACTAAAGTTTTGAACATTTTCACAAATCTTTCCACTCGTTCATGCACTTTCGTTTACTTCAATGTTGCTTTTTTATTCGATTCATTGCATCTTAATATGCTTTTCTAATGTGTGGCAGCTTGGTCTAATGCAATTTTGTGTTTTTAAATTGGTTTGTTTGTCTGTCTCAGTGATTTTGCTATCATTAACCGTTAAACTTTCTTGCTATTTTAAACAAGTTTCGAACTCTTTTGTCCATAACGTGTTTGCTTCATTGTTGCGTTGGTCCAAGTCTTGGGCATCTTACCATCATGCATTTGTTTGTATGCTGTTCACTCATACTCTTTGAATTTATCTTATTTGCTTGCTCTCGAAAAGTTGTAGATTGATACTTATCCAATAAAGGGAAGAAGACATTCGGTATTTACTCGCGTACTATTCCTCCAAATTATATGCTAGAAAGATCAGTTAACTGTATTTATTGTTTGCCTTTAGAATCTTTTATTTGAAAAACATTCTACTTTAGTCGATCACTGAACATTAACAAATATATTTAGCTTGTAGTATTGACCGATATCTGGTGAGTTCTTTCGGTGATTGGAAACCGAAGTGCAGTATTGATAATCCTTAGTAGCCCTTTAAACTGGTGGCCTTTAAAGCAATAGGTGTCGTATAAATTTACCAAAACTGTTGCTTACCTGGTTCTAAGTATGCATTACTTTTCAATCTATGGCATATATCTGTAAGTCGTAATAATTTGATCAGGCACAGTAATTTGTTTATTTTGTGCACAAACTAGGTACAACATAAGAACCAACAGATGCTCCGCACGTATGCCTTTATCTCAAACCAGAGCTGCATAATCCCCCAGGTCTCATCCAGGAAGTCATAATGCGTTTACAGATGCTAATCCAGTGCAGCTGCTCTTCATTTCTTAGCGCCACAACTACCATTTCTGCCAACCAGTTTCAGGACAAGTGAACTGTGAGTGGTGTGGTAGCTAGGAGATACGACATTGACAACACATGTACAAGCCACCAAAGCAAGTGTTTGAAGTTGACACCACTCAGTAAATAAAGACCATCAAGCTCAAGCACATAGCACTTGACCTTAGAGCTGCTTACTATGATATTGACATTGGATGTCAACAATCCTACAAAGAAAACAGTGATCGAACGCATTTGTAGAACATTCTCTGCTCGGAGGGAGACCAGGTTCCACAGGCATAATGTAAAACTGCGCACATGGACACCTGATATTTCATAGCAAGGCTAACGTCATGACGGTATCGAAAGTGACACAGATTGGCCTATTTCGCTCTGGCTTTTGACATATGGTTGAAATTTTACCAAGTACACTTCCATCATCACTCAATTGGGATGTGGTTCACTTCTGAACTCGCAAGTCATGGGTTCGAACCCCAGTCCATTTTCTGAGGTCTGGGTAGTCAGGTGGTATCATTAGCCCTTAAAATAGATGTAATTCATTGCCTAATACACAGGCCTACGCTTGTTTACTGAGTACGTTCCGATTTCCATCACTATTCACATTAACGAAGTACACTAACTTTTCAACACCTTCCTACTGTACATCACCAACAGTCAGTCCAAGCACAAGCTCCAATTAATCTTGTATAAACACATTTCACTTCTATGGTATGGACCACAGTCCATACTTATTGACACTGATAGGTAGCTAATTGAGTACGATTCAGT